CAATCATACTTTATCCAAGCTATCATATAACTGACTAATCAGTAACATCTTGCAGCTCAAAAACACATATAGCAGGCATATCAGGCATCTTCGTAGATCCTTAGCCCTAATCTAGCCTGCAGTTCTCATACATATACAGTAGGCATATAAGGCATCCTTCCTAGATCCACTAGCCCTAATCTAGCATGCAGTTCTCATAATCATATCATATCATAACATATATAGGTATCTTGGGGAAAACTTACTTGAGCTCGGCCGGTCGCGCACATCACACATCTTGTTTTTTTTCAAAGCTCTTTTCTCTTTTCAAACTTTCTTTATAAAAATGATTTTTCTTTTGAAGATTTTTTTTATACCAAGTCCTCAGTTTTAGTTCAGACGCACCCGAGAGTGTATCCGAATCCCTAAAACTAAGGCTCTGATACCAACTTGTAACATCCCAATTTTCGAGACCAAAATTTTCATTTTTGATTCAGTAACTCATAAAATAGTTTACCAAAAACATTACCAATGTCAAATCAATTTACAAAACTGTAACAACGTGTCTCAAAACCATATCATCAATAGTAGTAAAAATCAGAGTACAATCCCAGAAAACTGAATGCGGAAATCCTGTGTGAGTGTGATGTGCCGCTACCACGCCGGCTCCTTCCCCTTCGCTGAAGAGGTACCTGAAACAAAACTGGAAACTGTAAGCACGAAGCTTAGTGAGTTCCCCCATCATACCACATACCATACAATCACATAGCATACATACTATCAGGCATATCTGGGTGCCCGACCTACCCCTTCGGTCCTCTCGACCGGCGACCTTGCCTAGCATCCCTGGGTGCTGGCCTACCCCTTCGGTCCTCCCGACCGGTGACTTTGCCTAGCATATCTTGGTGCTGGCCTACCCCTTCGGTCCTCTCGACCGGTCCACCACATAATCATAATCTATCATAGCTGGGTACTAAACTACCCCTTCGGCCCTATCGATCGGTAACTTAGGGACTATCTCCCCTACTGCTAACCCTATCACATAACATTATGTCAGGCTAGCACATAGAACATAACAGATAGTAGCAAACATAGACAATTATCACAAAGACAATCATCTAACAACAGCTCCTACTGGTGGGCCGGCATTATGGCCGTAGACCCACCCCTACTGGAAGGTAACTCACCTCGATGTCGTGAAGTATCTGTACTGTCCTCGGCACGGAAATCGACTCGTCACTACTCCCCAATTCCTACACAACAACCTTCTCCGACTACTATTGCATACTCATAACCCTTACAAGGGTCATTCCAAATCCAAGTCAAATTCAAGGTCAAACCCTGGTCAAAGTCAACATCCGATTGACTCGACTCGCCGAGTTGGCCCGCCAACTCGTCGAGTCCCCATAACTACCAAATGTCTTACTCTCGTCTCTACCCGTCGAGTCTAGCAAGAGCCTGACGAGTTCGCCTTCAACAACGCATCAGACAATTCTTCAACCGACTCGCCGAGTTCGTTCTTGAACTCGCCGAGTTCATCTTCATCCACAAGAAGATGTTCAGTCTATGACACGCCGAGTTCCCATTGAACTCGCCGAGTCCGTCTTCATAAGTTGGGAGATTGCCTTGGACTCGCCGAGTCTGTTCATACACTCGCTGAGTCCTATGATTTCCAGTTCCAAAACAAACCCCTAGCAGGCTGAGTGTTCCTTCCACTCACCCAAAACCATTTCCAGAAGACGTTTTGGGGAAAAAGCGTCCCGACTCACCGAGTTACCCATGTGACTCGCCGAGTCCCTCTTTGTCCAAAACCATACAGTCGATTTTAGTGGGACTTAATGCGTCAAAACCATAGATCTGGCCTCCTAGGGTCCAATTTATATGTAAAGCTTCAAGCTTGATGCACATGCATGGGGCCTTTGGCTCAAAAAAACCATAAAAGGAGGTCTACAAGATGCATGGGGTGTTTATGGCAACAAAGTTGGCACCTTTATGCCATAAAGACCCCCAATAGCCCCAGATCCGAAGTGCAACTTTTAGCACATCCACAAAATTCGATTTTTTTTTGCTTCTCTATACTCATTAAAAGGGTAAAAACAACCCCCAAACAAAATCTAAGAGATAGGCGGTCAAGGTTCTAGCTTTTTACCTCAAATGAGCTGAGAATGGAGTAAAACTTCTGGATCTCCTTGCTTCTACTTGAACTTCCAAACTTCCTTCCCTTCTCTAACCTCAAATACACAAAAAGATGCACAAAATGGATTGAGAGCACTCAAACAAAGCTAGGGTTTCGAGTTGGGGTATTCTCAAAGTGAGAGGGACGATGGAGGCTGGTTCGGGGCGAGTTAAGTTGTTTAAATAGGGTGCAAACCCTAAATATTAGGGTTTTGTCCAGGGAGCTCCTACTCGTCGAGTCGGTCTTCCGACTCGTCGAGTAGGTCACTTAAACCCCCGATCAACAGTCGAGTCTACTCGACGAGTTGGGCCTCCAACTCGTCGAGTCCCAGAGTAAATTGTAACATTTTCATGGAATTAAATACGTACCAGAAATCGGGTGCTACAAAAGATCAGGGAAGATTAAGCTACTTTCTTGGAATTGAAGTTTTATGTATAAGTGAAGGTGTTTGTTTGAATCAAAGAAAGTATTATCTTGAACTTTTGCATGAATTTGGAATGTTAAGTTGTAAACCTGTCTTAACTCCTTTAGAGGCAAATTTTGTTCCAAAAAGAAATTGTGTTGATAGTGATCCTTTACTTGAGAATGTTACTGAATTTCATAAATTAATTGGGATATTTATATATCTAACTATTAGCAGACCAAATATATCATATTGTGTTCAAATTCTCAGTCAGTATATGCATAAACCTCATAAGTCACATCTGAATATGGCCTTTAGATTGCTTAGATACTCGAAGTCCTGGAAAAGGTATTTCTATAGTTAAGTAAGAAAATTATGACTTAATGGGTTTTGTAGATGCTGACTGGGCAAAATGTCTAAAGTCTAGAAAGTCGGTTATTAGACATTTGGTCTATTTTGGAAATTCATTAGTTTCCTGGAAAAGTAAAAAAAAAGCAATTGTATCCAGGTCCTCAACAGAGTCTGAATATAGAGCTTTGGGTTATGTTACTTGTGCAGTTATTTGGATTTTAACACTTTTATTTGATCTAGGTATAAAAAATTTGATACCTGTAAAAGTTTTTTGTGACAATGAGTCAGCTATAAAGCTTGCGTTAAATCCTGTTTTTCATGAGAAAACAAAGCATTTTCAAATTGATTTACACTTTGTTAGAGAAAAAATAACAAATGGTGTTTTAAAAGTTGAAAAAATAAGTACTTTTAAACAAAGAGCTGATACTTAAACAAAATTTTTAAGTATTTCACAACATAATTTTTTGTTAAATGAAATTGGTTTAGTTAATCCTTTTAACAAAAGTTAATATTCTTTATTAAAAATGTCAAGTTTGAGGAGGGGTGTTAAAAGTTTGTGGTTTTTACAAACTTGACATTTCCAAATATTCCAGGGGTTATATATAAAAGTATTTAAGATTGTTTTTGATATTTATTTGTGTGATCTGGGTTAGTTGTGACATTGTTGCATAGATATGGACTGTAGTGCATATTGGTGATAGTTTAGTCGGGTTGACACGCGGGTCAAAAGCTCCATTTACACGAAGTATAAGTTCAGAGCTGTGTTGTTGATTTTGTTCATTAGTTAGTAGAAACTTTCAGATCACTTTTCTCTTTCTCTCTTGTTGCTGTGTTGAGTTAGGGTTTGTACGCCCAAGTTTGAGTTCTTTAGTTGTTCTTAATCTTTATAGATTAGGTTTGTGTGTGATAGTAATGAGAGTAGATTAGGGTTTATGTAGTGAGGATTTCCTTTGTAATTACTTGAAAACCATATATTTATTTGTCCTAAATTGATATAATAGATGATGATGTTGGGAATGTCTATTTCTACGTTTTTTCACACCCTGTTTTAAGGAAATTGCAAGTTCTAATGTCCAAATCATTCTCCGCTTCATACATTATACATTATGTAACATTATAAGTTGTTTTATTATATATATACACATTATTTTTTATTATAGGAACATACTTTTAATAATTATATAATAATTTATAAACGTTAATTTCTATGTTAATACATAAACACAAAGGATTTTAATTTATAAAAAATGTCTAAATCGATTTCCAAAAGCCATAAGTTATTTCTAAAATTAAAATATAAACACAAAAGTTTTGTAATTTACAAATAATAATTTGTTCGGTTAAAGACGTTAATGGCTTTTGTCATATTTAGACAACTATATTTTTTCATATAGGTTTGATTAGTAAACTTATTTTGCATGTTCATTATTGTGTTAAAACACCGGTAATAACGAGTAATATTACCTTATTTTAATATGTTAAATAAATTTATTGGTTTAACTTTAAGAAAAAAAACATAATTACATAAATATATACAAAAATCAAAGTTTGTTACCCTCTTAGGTCATTAACCCTAGATAAATAAAAAAACTTGGTTATTTTCATAAACAAGTAAAAAAAAAGTTAACTGATTTCCCGATAAATAATGTACATTGTTACTTCATCTTGATTTTCTTATTAATAATCCAAAAATCTATTCAAGACACAAACCTTGTACCTCCAAACTGTATACGATACATACTCCCACTGGACAAGGAAACGCTGCCCTCCTTTCTAAACTGACACAGTCATGCATGAGTTCGTTCATGAACAGTGTGCATCTGAATCAGCATCCCCTCTATCCCTCAAAGAAACCAATAGAAACCACACACCTTTAAGGTAACAGTTACCCTTAATTAATTAATGTCAGGTGGGGGTATCCTGCAATCATTTCAGGAAACTAAAAAACACCCATGATTAATTTTCCGTCGTACACGCATGTTTTTAGCATCATACACAGTAACGCCCACGTACTCTGTGCAAAAGAAACGATACATTTGATATCTACTTAAAGAAACCACATAGGATGTGTATGATTTAAAAGGTATAGAAATGAGGCACAATAAAGAAAGAGAAAAGGCTGTACAAGTTGAAGGAGAGAGACGAATGGTCCGGCAGATCAAGGTCAGCACCACAAGCCGCACGAAAGAGAGACGCATTCGACTATCACCTAACACTGCAATTCAGTTTTACGATGTGCAAGATAGGCTAGGGTATGATCGAGCTACCAATGCAATTGATTGGCTCATGAAGGAAGCCAAAGTTGCCATTGATGCACTCGGTGATGCAAATCAAGATGATAATCAGGGGTACCAAATACCAGCTACCACCACCATTTTCAACCCTTCAGAGACATTTCATCCAACAACCTATGATCAGATTCAGCAGAATACGAATCATGAACAAACAAACAGTTTAGATCACAACCTGTCTGCGCTCATGAATCCAATCAACAGATTCCCTCAAGAAATGGACCTCTTTTCAACCTCAAAAGCCTCAGTGGATTTCACATGGAGTCCAAATTACAACAGAGGAGAAGGTTATGGTTTTGTTAATCGTGAACCCATTCAATCCAGTTTCACTCCTCCAATTGTTCATACATCGAACACTGGGTTCTATGGATGTTATTCTCAGCAAGAAATTCAGGTTCAAGAGGATGAAAAGGATAATCTTTGTAGTTGTACCCAGGCCTTACCTCCCCTCTAATACTTCGGTTTTGCATTATCCAGAATAGCACAGATCAAATCTTGAAACCACATGGTACCGAAGTTTCCAAATTCTACTTCTATCAATTCGGTATTTCTTTTTACGTGTAGAAGTATAAGAACTTTTACAGAAAAGTATTTGTTGTAAATATTATTTAGACGCAAGAATGGTCCTATGACTTGAATTTTTTTTGGGTTTTGATCCCGAAAGTTTCAAAATCGGAAATATATTGCCCTTATACAATAACTTTTTATTAACACAATTAAAATAAAATACCTCTCTGTATGTTGAACAACAACATCTGTAATCGTCTGTGTTTGTGTATGGATCAGTTGAAGAGTCTGCTGAAGATTGTACCTAAACCGAAGTGGTGATCTCCCAACCCTAGAAAGTATGGCTTGAGGGTAGGTATTTTTAGTGGTGCCGGAGAGCAAAACGGGAGGTTTTCGGAAACTTTAGAGTTGCAGGTTTCTTGTGCATTTAGAGTTGCAGTTTTCCGGCAACTTTAGGGTTTCAGGTTTTCGGGGGTAGTGGTCACAGTTCAGCTGATGGCGGCGACTTCTCCCACGAGGAATTGAGGTGCATAAAAAAACCCGTGTGATGAAAACGATGAATGTGAGATTATTATAGATCATAAGATGTTTGTGTAGAGGTGGAATTAGAGGTGGATGCGGGATAACAGGTGGTAGCGGTGGGAGTTGCATGTTTTTAAGTAAGGAGAGAAAAAGAAAAGATGAAAAAGAGGTGGATGCGGGATAACAGGTGGTAGCGGTGGTCGTCCGTGTCCTATGATACAATCGGAAAGATGGGGAAGAACAATTAGATAAGTTGGTGGGTGTAGATGGGTCTATGATAATTGCCGAAATCTTAGCTAGTGTTTGAACCAAAGCTTACAAATTGTATAATCCATAAAATTTCATAAAAATTTAAACTTTTTCAAACCAACCAAAAATCGTAATTGTTTACATTTTAGTTTTCAAAACATGTTTAACATCAGAGTTTTCTCAAAATCACAAACACAACATGAGGAGGTGCACGATCAAGGCTTTGCATTCCTACCACTACAAGAAATACTGGTATTAGCGGCGACAGCCGTCGCCGCAAAAGAGTAAGCTTGTCGCCGCTAAAAGTATTAGCGGCGACACGTCGCCGCAAATACGTCGCCGCTAATGCTTCGTCGCTAATGCCCTTCTTGTCGCCGCTAATTCTTACCTGTCGCTGCTAAAAACGCGTCATTCCAAATTCCGGTGACAATTCATTCCAAATTCCGCTAATGCCCTTCTCGTCGCCGCTAATACTTACCTGTCGCTGCTAAAAACACACAAAAACATACAAATAACACACAAACACAATTCTGGCGACAATTCATTCCAAATTCCAAATAATAACCATACAAATAACATACAAAAACATACAAATCAAATATATAATTTCAAAAGTCATGAAAAGGAACCTGTGCTAGTGTAATTTAGCGATTTTCCGGTAAGAAATCCAGTTTTCCGGCAACAATTCCGACAACAGATTCGGCAGAAGTAGATTTTCCGACAAGGGTTCAAAAAACATTAAATTAAACACTTAAAACCAGTAAAGAAAACTCCAAAACAGAAGTTGAATAGAAAATAGGGAAGAAATCGGACCTTAGATCGAACTTTTGTCGCCGGAAATGAGTGTGGTCGCCGGTAATAATGGAGCTCCACTGGTGGCCGACGGTAATGGCTGCCGGAGACGAGTCCTGTGGCGCAAACGAGGTCGTCGTCGGAGGTGCAGTCGTCGGTAATCGTTGGAGGAGTGAAAGGAAGCAGAACGAAAAGAAAAGAACGCAGTGGGGGGGGGGGGTTATCTGCGACGAGTATTAGCGGCGACGCTAGGGTTATTAGCGGCGACAAAAACACAGCGCCCTTTTTCCTCACTTCCCACCGTTGGATGAAAAGCAGATCGAACGGACATGGTTGATTTGACGCGGATCGACACTGTAGCATCATTAGCGGCGACCCCTTTAGCGGCGACACCAACTATTAGCGGCGACATGTAACGCGTCAATTACATGTCGCCGCTAATAGCCGGTGTCGCCGCTAAAGGGGTCGCCGCTAATACCGATATTTCTTGTAGTGTACAATTATCTCAGGTATCTAAAACTTAACCCAAAACTATAAACCGAATGCTTAGTGAGTTCCTCCAAAGTAGCAACACAACAAATAACACATATACCATAACAACATACTATGTGTCCAATCAACCATCGGGCTGGAATACCCCAGGCCCCTCAACCATCGGGTTAGAATGTCAATCAACCATCGGGTTGGAATACTCCAGACCCCTCAACCATCTGGTTGGAATGCCAACATACTATGGGTCCAATCATCCTCGGGATGGAATACCCTAGGCCCTCAACCATCGGGTTGGAATGCCCCGGCCTGTTGGCTTGCGCACAAAGCAGTGAAGCCTCAGCCACCAACCAAACATGTGCACATAATACAGATAAACATACCATTAACCATCCAACAAACAAATAAACAGATCTTACATATCACTAGGCATAGTGTGAGTACAAGAATCAATGCGCAAGGACAAGGTTTGAAAACTCAAACCTTGAGTTAATCTTTAAGATCAATGTCTGCTCTTAATTAATGGTTCCAGTCGAGTCTGGTAATACCGGTCAAGATTTGAAGAAAAGATTCAACAAAGTACTCAATATTAAATAAAGTAAACTAGGAGTATAATCAATGTAAATACATTTAATGAACAAGAAAAATGTTGTGAAAGATCTGTTGGATATAGTGTCTAAGTCCATAACTTTATTTGGTATGTATTTGACCCGACCCGGCATGGTCCATTTGGGTTGCATGACATTGCAATACTTGGATAGACTAAATGAGAGAATAAGGCACTTATGATTATTAATATATTATAAGTTCTAATATATTAATAATAGTATTATTTAATTAGTATTGATCAAGTATTAATCTAGTGATCAAAGTGAGACTAATTAAATATATAGGGTTGATTATGACAATCATCAATTCTTTTATGGTGGATTAATGATCCATGGTTTATGGGTTTGGTTATAACCATATGGAGCTCCATGGATAGTCTATGGGAGTTACAAACCCATGGGTCATGGGAAATCAAGAGTCATGGCAATTAAGGGTCTTCATGAGTAAACCCTAATTGTGACAACACTATAAAAGGAACCCTATGGCTAGCAAAATGGTGAGCTAGTTGACCTAGTGTTACTAGAGAGGGCATAACCGATTTTGAGTGCTAGAAGTATTCTCTCAAGTTATTCCAAGTCTTGTGGTGTTGTGTGAAGCATTTGAGGCACAACATTTGGGGTGCTAGGCTCACAAAGTCTTGAAGGAATCCAAGCAACAACAAGGTATGTATTTCTACTAGTTTTTATGTTTTATGTAATCCCCATGCCATGCTAGTTAGGAAATAACCTTGAAAAAGAAATTTGCATGTATATAGAGAAAACATAGATTCAAGGTTATTAGGGTTGCATGTACACTTAGGAAGTGTTAGAATGCTCAAAAACCCATCAGTGGTATCAGAGCCTAGGATTGTTTTCTGTATACTTGATGCAAAACTGCTTAAAAATCGAAAATTCTGCATTCTGACGACTGGACTCGCCGAGTCCATGGGGAGGACTCGCCGAGTCCATGAACAAATTCATCCTACTCGACGAGTAGAATAATGCACTCGACGAGTAGGAGCGTGCTGGGCAGTTTTTTCGAGTTTTGTTGCTGGAAATGGATTAAGATCATTATCCCAATCTGTTTTGGACTTGTAAAATCTGTTTTTCAAAATGATAATGATTATGTTAACCCATTTTACATGACTTTTATCAATTTTCAAGTATTGTATATGTTTATATGATTTTCTTGAAATTGCTTGACATGAATTTGTGTTCTTATGAGTTTTTAGAAGATCATAGGAATTATATGTAACCTCCATGTGTGTTTAATTCATGATCTTAATGGCTATGATGGTGTCCATAACTTGTCCTCAAGTTATGGATAACCAAAAGTCACTTCTTTTAATTATGATTAAAGAACTAAAGAGGTTTCATAAAATGAAGAGTCTTCATTTTATGAACCATTAAAACTCATAAGTTACAAATTGAAGAGACTTGGAATAGTTTCAAATCTTGCCCTCAAGTTTTGGAATTTGAAAAGTCTTACACTTTAATACTTTAATTCCAAATTAAACCTTAGATTTTTAAAAAGTTTAAAAATCAACACTTATACTATTATTATAATTTTATTATATAGATATGTATAAGAATATGTCATTCTTACCGTTAGTAGGCCCCATTCACGAAGCCGGTCTATAAGGGGGGTATAAGGTTGTTGCCTATAAAATGGTGACTTAATGGGTGTCCACTCTCACCCACCGCTTCCTTGATCGGTGGAGGGTCGTTAGCCGAACGGGTAGGATACGACTTTAAATACTCGTTAAAAGTATAATGAATTATAAAGTATAAATTCCCAATCTTAGTTACTTTAGGAAAATGTGAAATTGGTGCTAGCCCATAAAATTACACTTTGTACCTTACCAAGTCGTTAGTGGAGCGTGTGTGGTTAACCGGCACACTAACATGGACTAGTAAGAGTGGCAAAGGGTAACTTAACCTTATTATAGATCGGTGGAGCGTGTGTGGTTAACCGGCACATCGATTAGGTAATATTGTTGAGGGTACCAAGTCAATTTGTATGGTTATTCACACCTTGTTTGTGATCCTCGGCATCCCAGTCACAAACTTGAGAGGGCACAATCGAGATTCAAACATGCCATTGAAAAGTTCAATGTATCTCAAAAGATCTAGGAGTTTCAAAACCAATAAAACCTAATAATAAAATATTTCGTTCTTATGGTGGAAATTGGTAAATCGTCATTTACCTACCTTCAAATATTTTATAGTATGGATTACGGCATCCCTCTTCCAACTATAAATAGTTTGTTGGATCCTAGCCTTAATATTTCATTTGGGTGAATTATTA